TTTTAAGCTGGGAAAACTTTTAAAAATTTCTAGTTTAAGTCCATTTTATTTTATTTTATTTTATATTTTATTTTATTTTATTTATTTAAATATATCTTTATTGATTTCAGAGAGAGGAAAGGAGAGGGAGAGAGAGAGATAGAAACATGAATGATAAGAGAGTCATTGGTCGAGCCCACAACCCGGGCGTGTGCCGTGACCGGGAATCGAACCCCGATCGCCTGGATCCTAGGTCGACGCTCAACCGCTGAGCCACGCCTGGCCGGGCTAAGTCCTATATTTTAAAGATAAGTGAAACTGAGGTTCAAAGGGGAAAATTTTATATCTAAGGGCACAAAACTAAAACCCCTCTGAGTCTCTACCTCTGCTTATAGACTTAACTCTCTTTAGACTTCCTGGCCTTTAAATAGGATCCAATATGTTTTCTCCTTTCACCTCCCTATTCATCCCATCCACTCTACCAGCTAGCTGATTCTCCTCATGACTGTTTCTAATGCACAAACCATCCCATCAAGTGCCCATGCGTGTGCACCCATGCGTACGTGCACACACACACGCACACACACAAAAATAGTTTCACTCTTTCACTAAGTTTCCATTAACCGGATTTTAGTGATTTTACCCACATGGCCTAGAATCATTATCTTTTACCTCAAAATATTCAGATCCTTCCCTGACTAGCCTCACCTTCATCCCAAACTCCCAGTATTACTAACAATAAGAAAATGTGGCACTCTCTCCTCTTCTTTTGCCTCAACAGGAAAAACCTGGCTATATTACAATTGACTCTGTGTGAACCTTTGCACCAATGACAGTATTAAAGCCTCATGCTTTATGAACTACCAAATCTAGAAGTGGATTTCTGTCTGACATGCCAGGCTTTTAAGTCTTGTACCTGTGCCCAGTCCAGAGATTTCTGAAACCATGAATAAAGTGGTAATCAACACTGTGAATACTCAGTCTGAGTTAACTGAAATGACAAACAAGTGAGGAAGAAAAAGATTTGTGTTCCCATTCTCTCTAATACAGGTGGAATTCCAAGTTTGAACAAGGCAGATTCAGAATCACCTTCAGAAAGGACATCTGGGTGATAAAGATGCATTGTAAAAGTGGAGAAAAAAAATCAATAAATGTTCTCTGAAGGTAATAAGACAGCCCCCTGCCTTTAAATAGAGGTAATGATGGCAGTAAACTCCAGCCACCAAGCTTTACAGATGGGAGGAGAATGAAAACACCAATATTTTTTTCTTTGTTTTGTGTATTTTTAAAGTCACCTGTCCCTCAAAGGGCTCAGAACTGGAACCTGAGGTCCACATTACAAAGGAACCAAAGGGCTTCATAGCTTTGCAAGGAATTCATTGGTTATTTTTTGTATTTTAAGCAGTCAAAAGCATTTGGCTCCATGAACTCATAATGGCTCATTTTCTCAAAGAAAATATAACCAAGTTTCCCCAAATTAAGTGATTCTAGGGTCTGGAGCATTTAACGCTTTGCTGGATGTCCAAGTTTTTTGTAAGTTGAGTGATTGTCCCTCCCTTTCTTCTCTTCCTTATTCTCAAATCCATCAAATCCATGTCATAGCAGAGTTCATCCCAGGCAGCCTTGCCAGCTGCCCTTTTGCCTGCCTTTCTCTTTTAGCCCTAACTTCTGCAAAAAGCTCTCATGTGGAATACATTATGACAGCAAAATCTTCCCTTTCACAATATGTTTGATTATTTCCCGTTTTCCAAAAACAGCAATATCATGACCTAGATTTGTAAATCCCAGAGGCAGCATCAAATACAATCTAATCTATCTATTGAATTTGCTTGTTTGCTTGGTTACTTCAACTCTTTTACCATCTGATATGACTGTTATTACTGTGGTGCTTGGGGCTTCCTGACATACAAGCTGCAGACAGGTGTTCTGCTCCATTCTTTGCTTTATAGGCAGGGTCTACGGGATGACGATATGGGGAAGAGGTAGGTAATCTGTGGGGAAGGGGGAATCATCTGAAGTCTTTGGATCTGCTTCTCATTTCCTTTTATGACAGCGATCTTTCTGTAAGTACTCTTAAGAAAGGAAGGCACTGCTCTCTGTGTCTCTTTCCAAACTGCGTAGGCCTAGACATTGGGACCCTAGACCTTATACTGGCCCAGCATAAGGAGTAGCAATAGGCTACTCAGGAGTATGGGTGAAATATGCATCATGTTTTCAGTAATACTAATTTCTCTGTCTCCTTGTTGCTTTGGGAACTGTAAACATTAATAATACATCATCTCGCTTATACGTGGAATCTAAAGAACTTAATAAACTGATGAACAGACTAGATTCAATGACATGGAAGCATAGATGAGACTGATGAATGTCAGAGGGATGGAGGAGGG